ATAGCATTAGTAATAGTGGTGGTGATAGTAGTAGTATAGTAATAGTAGTAGTGGTAGTAGTAGTAGTGGTGGTAGTAGTAGTAGTAGAAGTAGTAGTAGTAGACTGCGATAAAGACCGTGTGAGATGGTGGGACATTGATAAGGTAAGTAAATGGCAGTGGTTGTTCATTCTTACTGCATTACAAAGATACATCAATAACACACACACACACACCACACATACACCACACACAGATACACACACACAAAGAGAGAAAGAGAGAGAGAGAGAGAGTGTGTGTGTGTAAATGTGTATGTAAATCAATGTACAATGTGTATGATAATCGGAGATCTCTTTGTTTTTGAACATAGCAACGGCGACACAGAACTTCACTAAACCAGACACCTACCTACCTACAACAACAAAATAATATCCTCACCATTATTTTCACCATCGCTACTATCACCACTGTTGCCATCGTCATCATCATCGTGTTATCAACTTTATCTGCTTAAAAACAATGAAATGATAAGTTTGTTTCGCTAGCCAGGTTAGGATTTGATTAAAAAGTAGCAAGCAATGAATCTAGTAAAATTAAATTTAATAAATTATTTTTTGTCAAATTTAAAAATAAATAAATAAATAAACATGACACAATATAGCCGCCCCACTTGATAACTATGTATTTAAATTTCTTACATACACACGTAAGTATTTCAAATTTCAGAGTTGTCCATATCGATCAAAAAACGTGTTTGTGTTTTCTGAGGGTTTTAAAGTTTACAAATTTATTTTCCATAGCAAAAATGTTGTTCAACGTATTTTTGAAAAGATGTTAAAAGACAACTTTGTAATTTTCAAACAAAAATTGATAAAGCAGTATGATTGTTAGTTGCTATTTTTTTATTAACTTTTTAGTGTTTTGGGGCAAATATCTTTTATTGATTTTCAATTTATTATGTGGAGAGAAAAAGGGAGAGACAGAATAAAAGAGAGACAGAGTAAGAGAGCGAGAAAGACTTCGGCTATGCTTTTTCAACATAATTACCATCATTATATATTTCTTAATATCTGAAATGTAAATTCTCTTCACTTCAGTTGGTAATAAATAATAAGAATAATTAAATGTTTATTAATGTACAACAATGTAACATAATTATATATTCAAGTGAATGGTGTGCGTGTGTTGTGCTGTGTGCACGTGGGTGTGTGTGTTTGTGTGAGTGTGCGCGCTATTAAAATATATTAAGTTTAAGTAGAAATAAATAAATTTTTGATAAACATTTGCAGTAACTCAATGCTTTTTTATTTAGCAAAAATTTTATTTTGGAAAGTTTCTCATCGATTTTACTCAATGATGATGAATGAATGGAAGTCAATTATAAATAGTTAGTTGCATAAACTTTCTGGCGTACAAATACAAAACTTCAGTTAAAAATTATTCACATTTCAACACGCGAGCTCTTTATTCCCAGGTCCTATTTAAATGTTTGACATTAAAATGCTCTTATAACATTGTTTTGACACACACAGACACGCACACATCACACACACACACACACATACTCATACATGAATGTACACACACGCGCGCACACACAAACACGCCTATATGGACACTTGAAATTTGTATGAAAATTATGCAAATAATCACTCAGAGGAAAATGAAATGAGCAACCTGGCCTACGCAATTGAGACCGTATTGAATTTTGACATATCGATTAGTACGATTTCAATGTTTCAATGTTGTTTGAAGTGATATTCATTCAGTGTTAGTGCACTTTTTGAAATGTCAAAGCAGAGATGTGTAAATAATAATAAATTGTTATATCCCTCGGTGTATTGTTTGTTGTTTACTTTGCAGTACATTATATGATTACATGGTTGCCTGCGGTGGTTGTCGTATCTTTGTTTGTGAAGCACCCTGCTGGGCTTATATATTTCTCCTTGTTTGCTTTCCATCCGCTGCTGTGCCTTTTTTTACGACTGTATCATCTCTTTCTTTCTTTCTTTCTTTCTCTCTCTCTCTCTCTCTCTCTCTCTCTCTCTCTCTCTATCTATCTATCTATCTATCTCTTTCGTTTTCTATCTATCTTTCTCGCCATTGTTGTTTCACTCAAGAATACAGGTTGAACGCTGAAAAGTGGGACAAGTTTAAAAAATGTGTGCTGTTAATATCAAGTTTTATTCATTTGTGTTAAAAATATCAAGTTTTTATGAAGAACTTATCCATATAAGATTAATACTTACTATACTTTATTACTCTTTGTATTTCTTTAAAAATTCATCTCACTAAACTTCCAGTCGTCTTTCATTTTAGATTTTTTATTTGTTCGATTTTTTGTTTTTTTTTACATGAAACGGTTCAGTCTTGTACCAATACTTTGTTGATTTTATAACGAGATTAAGCCATCAAGCAGCAAAAATTTGATGATTGCATTGATTATAATTTAAGTGCCATCAACCCATAACAATCCTAAATAGCCCCAGCCACACATGCATCTATGTATATGATCGTTTTAAACACTTCCATCACAGCATTTGTTTGGCAATGCCTGCCCGTATAAATCACCCTTTGAATTTAAATGATATAACTTAATAATATTATAATTATTATTTAAAATATTTGAAAATACTTTATGAAATCTTTTGTTTGCAATCAGGCGCCTGTATGGTGTCGTGAGAAAATGTTAAACTACATAGGCATGAAGTTAAAATTGAGGAGAGTTGATAATTTATTGAAATCGCTTGTAGTCATTTCATATCAATCTTCAAGTTAAACTTTCCTTTGTGAACACTCCACCATGCCATTCATCGGTCTGTGTTATTCATCATTTTCGTAATTGGTGTATCACTAGTCTACTCTATCAGCGTTCTGCCATTTCATTTCTATCTGGCTTGTTTATTACTTTTTCATATTTCACATTTGCATGCTTCTCAAAAATTTGATTTTAAAATTAAATTATAATAATATTGACAACGAATTAAAAAAAATTCTATTAAATGTAGCCAACCGCAAAAAAAATAATAATTAACTAATGTGAATATTGTAAAGATTTTGTGTATATTTAAGACATGAGTAACAAATATTACACTTCAGATTATGTTACTTTGAAAGATTTTTTTAATATCACCTCTGATTTGATTTCTTGCTAAGTGTTGTTGAAGCATTCATCTTTGTCGCTAACCCGAGTGTCCTAATTTTGTATTGCAGAAATTCAGAATGACGTCAAATTACATAAAAAAATTTAATGGTTCTTGAAACACGTCGTACATGCGTGTGACATCGTCAAACTGCACAAGACCACAAATTGATTTCAAGTTAAAATATCTTGCTGGTGCCATTTCATAAAAATAATAATGTACATACACCAAGTTCGGTTGATGTGATTGTTGTTTTTGTCATTCACTCGTTGTTGCGTTACAATCAATGTTTACTGGTGGGGCGGTGGAAAAACTAAGGAGTTTAGCACTTTAAACCATTAAATTTTAGGTTCACCAAATCAAAAATGTGAATTAAGTTAGTTGTAGTGTGAAATGTTTCGTTCATTCGTTAATCAAACACTGAAAATGTCATTGTGCAGTTGAATTATTATTAATAATAATAATGAATGCATGCATTGTATGCAAACATGGCAGATATTCGCGAGAAACTTATCGGCGGCAAATGATGCATTTGCGTTGAATTGTATTGTTTGGTGGGGACAAAAATTTTGTATAATCTTAGAAAAAATAATTTATGACGATTACTATGGGACATCAAAAAGTTGCCTGGATCGCAGTGGCAGATTGCGTGATAAACTCTAATTTAACAAGAAACAATGCATTCCGATTGAAACTTTGATTTGCTTATAAAGGGAGATCATTGCGTGATATTCTGTTTTCTAGTTTAATGGGTGTTTAACTTTGCTTTCGGGCTTGTCTTTGCCGGCACATATCGTTCATATGTGACTGAAACATTGGTGCACGTACACGCACATGAACACGCACGTGTCGTCGATGTGTGACTGAAACACACGCACGCGCGCGCACACAAACAAAACTACTTCAGTTCTATTATTAAACTTTTTGATGCTGTTTAATAGAACTCAGCACTACTTATACAAAATTTCTATACAAAACAAATTAAAAAATAACAAATAAATTTTGTTACTAAAGTTGACATTTGTCTGCCTGTCACGCAGTGTTTACGTTACGATGTTTATTTACATTTATCTAATCAACTGATAATAACGAAGCAGTTGACTCAATAAAAATTTCTTCTTCTGTTTGTCCAATCTACTGGCCATCATCAATTTGCAGGCATGTTCTCGTGTTGACTTTTGGCATTTCGGTCTTCTGAACCGTGACAGGACACAAATATAAACATCGAGTTACTTAACTAAATGTGTATACAGGCATACAACGACATATGTGCACATGACTGTTGTGTGGCTTACCTGAACTGCACGCTAGTAGGATAAAAGTGACATGTTTGTGTATCGTAGATATCTCCATGCTGATGAATATCTTATGTTAATCCTTTATCTTCTGACAGGTTCGACCTAATAAACAAATTTAATTTCTATTAAAAATGCATCCGTCAGGATAGCTCACTGAAGTTTAATAACATTTATTCGAATCAAATTAAGGTTTACACGGCTGAGCAGTTGCACACGTGAATGTTGCTGGTTTTAATTACGTTGAAATTTCAATTTAACTCGTTTTACATAATTTTGTAATACGAATGATCAATAAATTAATTGATGTTTTAAAAAAAACCGTTAAACAGGAATCTTCGTATGAAAAGATGGAGAAAGCTCAAATAGCGGAGATGGTGGTTCAGTTTTTAGAACAAAAGTTGCTTCCATTAATTTCCAGTCAACCTGCAAACGCGATTTGTCCATCATCATCCTCACCATCATCATTGCCACTTTTGTCTGCATCGCCTCTACCATCATCATCCTCATCTCCATCATCATCACCATCCCCAACATCATCATCATCAGCACAAACAACCAGTGGCACCACCCCAACAAATATGGACAACAACACCAACACCAGCAACCCAGCAAAAATCATGGAGACGTCGACCTCGCTGGTTTCCTTCCAAAAACTTCAGCACTCCCCTGTCACTAGCAGTACTGACCACTCCGATCACGTTGAACAGGTGGAAACCTTGGAACCAAACGATTGTGCAGCCAACGTAGGAGCTTCACATTCATCTTCCATCAACAACATGGATGGTGATCAAAATATTGTTCAAAAGCGTAAAACTGAAAGTATTTTTCAACCATCAAAAAGAAAAAGAGCCAACGGGAGTAAGACAGATAAGACGAAAAGATTTGAAAGTGGCAGTGACAATGTTGTTGATTCATCCACTGTGGCTCAAATGTTGTCGCCATCATCCGCCTCTCTACCTGTAGTGCCTTTTTCAGCTCCTACCAAAACAAATTTTGTATCATCGCCATCTTCCACGTCGTCATCGTCGTCAGCATCTTTTTCCTCACTATTGTCATCTTTATCAGTTTCATCTTTTCCGTTATGCCCATCATCAACGTCCTCTTCTTTCTCTCTCTCCCCTTCTTCATCATCATCTTCATCATCATCAGTTATAATCGACACACAACTTTCAACGTCTTCAACATCTTCATCATCGTTATCACCCTCACCAACTCCACCTGGCATTTCAAGTCACCAATCTTCCTATTCGCAAATATTATCTCAAAACGTTTCATCTTCTCCTTCTATGTTCTCATCATCTCTAATTTCATCCTATTCATCACCGCCGCTCATCACATTCCCACCACTACATCCCTCTTCCTCCTTATCTTTATCTCCATCAGATTTTCAATCTGCACTGTTGTCAACTTCACAGACTCCATTCTTTCCACCACCATCAACATTGCCAACCTCTCATTCCAGTTCGGCAGATTTCAGATTTTCTTATTTCTCACACCTCCCATGGAATCCGCCATTGTCATCATCATCATCGTCATCGGTTGTAACAACATCATCGTTTTTATCTTCATCATCTTCTTCATCTTCATTATATTCAACATCATTTTCATCATCGTCGTCATCATCTTCCTCGCTACTGACAACAACCACAACATCCAAAAAAAGTTTGTTCAGACCGTACGAACCCTCCACTCCTCAAATCACACAACAATACCAACAACAACAACAACAACAACTGCTTCATAGCGAACAAACTCATCATGCATTGGAGCAGCATAAACACTTTATAAAAAATTACCAACAACGACAATATTTCCAACAACATCACCAAGAACAACAAAAACAGCATGCGATTTTTTCTGCAACCAGTTATTTAGACCACATTCCTACCATGTTTCCACCACATTTTCATATCCCATCATCATTCACCAGTTTCGACCAAGAGCCGCCAACTCTTGGCTACTCATATATCTTCAACTCAAGTTCGCCAAACGGGCAGATGAACAACGCACCAGTCGTTCACACAACGACTACGAACAATAAAAGTTGCATCAAAAGAACTTGGGAGTCTTGAATGCATTCCTTTATAAACACTTTATCATTTAATTGTTTTGGTTTTTCAAGTTTTTTTGATATTTTTTAATTTTCGAAATTATTTGCACAGTTAACTAACTTGAATTTGCATATATAAATACAACTGTATATATATATATATATATATATATATATATATATATATATATACATACAAATATATATATATATATATATATACATACAAATATATATATATATATATACATGGGTTATGCCAGATAAACTATAATATTTCCACCCAGATATATATTTATATATTGGACATATAAGAGCAGTGCCTTTTTTTGCTCAAGCGTGAACTTCATTTAATCATTCTAACGTCAAAAAGCAATAACATGTATAATGTATGTGCGTGTGTGTGTGCGCGCGCGCGCGTGTGTGTGCGTGTTCGTACGTATGTGTGTACGTGACTTAGCAAGAATGATACGAACGGATATTAGAAGAAGTAATAAAAAACTATTAAAATTTATTGATTCAACATTTTATATCTCATCTTTCAATTTCTATTTCACTTTTTTGTTTTTATAATTTTTTTAAACATTCCACTTTCAAAAGCACTTTCACTTGAATAAATTCTGTAACAGTTTCAAAATCAAACTCTTGGAGTTGTTAATTCAAAAATAATGAAGCTGTCTTTCGTTGCAAATTAATTTCTTTTTTAAATTCAGTTTCACTTTTTGTTACTTATCTCAGATTAAGCGTTGCACATTATATCCGAAACTCCGCGTGAAGTTTTGACGCATTCTACAACCCATTTAAGAAGACATTGTTGTCCAGCTCAGAAAAATTAGAACGCAACACACATAAAGAAGAAATGACATCTTTAAGCTTTCCGGGTGAGAATGATTAATAATAATCAGAAGAGTATAAATTGTCACCTCATTCCGAAGAACAATTTCAATTATAAAACAAAATAACTAAGGGTTTAATAAAAAGAATTAAACGAGAATAAAGACTCATTTGATAAAACTTTGACCTATTGTCGGTTAATCTTGAAAATTAAAAAAAATTCACTCTGTCTGAATTTACAAGTAAAAAACTACTCTGGGTTTTTTTTTAATCGGCGGGCTTAAGATAAAAATTTATGCGCCTATTACGACAATTAAAATTTTTTATTTTAATTTTTCTCTTGAAGACATTTGCTAACAAATTGGCGATGAAATTATTACTTCTGAAACCTGATCCATTTGATTACAAAATTAAAACAATGATGATACTGATTTCTTATAAAACTTCCATGGCAGAGTTTGAAATGTCTGATCCAGTGATTGCAGTTGCAAAATAAACCACCGAATCATTTAGTTTGATAAATTTCTTAAATGAATGAAGTATGGTGATATAGTGAAAATTGTCTATACATCAAATGAAAAAAACAACAACATTAAAGTTGGTAGGATCACATATTTTTTCAATCAAAGGATAGAATATGTTGTTTTACTTTGAAATATTTCATTTATATTTGAAAAAAATAAAAACCATAAACAAAAACTAGCATTAAATTGATAAATACAAAAGTTTGAATTTATAAAACTTATTTTTTAACTATTCGTGTCAGTCTGTTAACATTACTTAAAATTACTCATGATTGAATGGTTGGTTGGTTGACTGAATGATTAGTTGAAAGGTTAATTGACTGAATGATTGGTTGGAAGTTTGTTTATTTGCTGTTTGACAGTTTAATCAAGAAACTTTAATACTTAATAAAACCCTTACATCCCTATAAAAAAAAAGAGTTAAAATAAACTCATGTTTATTGTTAATGTTTATTGTATAATTTTTTTGTTATGCAATGTTTAAGGCCATCGTATCAACTAGCTAACGACGATGTTTCTCACAGGGGAAGTGATCAATAACCATTGATTGACAAAATAAGTTCAAAAGACAGTCTGTGGTACAAATAAGTTTAATCGAAAAAGATTTCTCATTAATGTTAGCAGGTTGATTCTAACGCAGAAATTAAAAGGGCCAAAATCCAGGCCCACAATACTTTGTCAATTATTAGTTTGTTTGTTTGCCCTTTCCTTCATTTGTTTGTTCGTTTGTTCGTTTGTTTGTTTGTTTGTTTGTTTGTTTGTTTGTTTGTTTGTTTGTTTGTTATTTCATTTATTTATCAACCTATTCATTCATACATTCATTAATTAATTATTTTTTCGTTTGTTCATCTGTTCAATTATTCCTTTGCTTATTGCTGCATTCGGTTTGTCAGTCATCTGTGTTGTTCATTCGAATTCATTTATTTATCTGTTAATTTAATTGTCTGTTTATTTGTTTATTTGTTCAATCATTAACAGTTAACTAGATAGATAAATAATTCATTCATTCATTCATCAATTCATTCGTTTGTTCGTACAGTCGTTCTTGTATGATTAAAACATTTGTTGTTACAAATGCTAATTAGAGTTTTCTCATCTGAGATAGAAATATTTAGGAACAAAAACAATCTTTCATCAAAAGAGTATTAGTTTGACGTGAGGGAGCAAAAGTTCAGTGCAGTGCACGGAACATCTGTTTGTTGTAGCTGTACACAAATTTGTACACGTTCACGTTACGTGCCCACCAAACAATGACTTCATCCTGTTAGACGTCAAACTACTTTGGCTTATCTTTAATTTTCTTTTTCTAAAATTTTGGTAAACAGGCGAAAAATTGAAATTGAAATCAAAATTTATTTGATGTTAGTTAAAATATTGTTTGTCATCACAAAAAAATCAGCATATAAAAGAGCAGATGATCAAAAAATGTGTGAAGACAACACGTGTGAGCACATGTTTCAAGTAAATGCAGGCCTTTTGTGTGTCTGCTGAATATATGGGACCGACGTTTTCCATTGTTTTGAAATTTCATGTTGTTGGTTTATGCCTTTGCATGCATTCAACAAATCGGCAATTAAAAGAACATATTGTCAATATCACATTACCTGTCTTTGATTTATTAATTGCTGGCTTAACCATTTGAAAGAGTAGATTAATATCAACTGCTGCTAGCGACTGCCAGCCGACCTGTCCAAATTAACAAAACCACGGTTCACAGTCTTCCCATGAAATTTTAACGAATTCAGTGAAATTAATGTCATGTACAAATTAAATTTGAACAAATTTTATTATCCTCTCACAAAACTTTTAACTTCTAAAAAAATTTGTTGTGCTTGCTTCTTTTATATATTTTTCATTATCATTTCTGATGTTTCATCTTTCTTTTTCAAAGTTACTGGGATTGTTTAAAATTGTTTTCATAATTGTTTTCATAACTTTGCCATTTATTGCATGCTGACTTTTTCCAAATGCAGTTCGTGCAAAAAACCAAAAATCGTTACATGTGCCTTGTTGAGTGTTCAAACGTCCATTTTTTCAAATGCAATTCAGAAAGGAAATATTAGTAAGGTTATTTATTATCTTCTTTTTCTTTCTTGTGCCTTATCCCATTAGAACATTGGCGACCATCGACCTCCACAAAACCCGATCTTTAACACTCTGTAGTAGTGGAAATGTGGTGATTTTCAGGACTCAGTTTCGTAAGTAGGCACAGGAAAAATGAAACACTCTAACAGTTTTAATTTTGTTGATATTCTGATTTTACTGTTAGTGAGGATGTTTTTCATTTTACAATATGCATTTTTCGCCATAGTTATCCTTTGTTTGAAATCCACACATCGCATTTACAACCTGAAGTAATCAAACTTCCGAGGTAATTGAAGCATTTGACTTTATTATTGATGCTAACTAATTTTTCGTGGCCATTAGTTGGACCATTAATATGACGACGTTTACTTGATTTTCTTCTGTCTCCTGCGGTTTTTATTTAAAAAAATAAAATGGCCAGGGTACCAAACTGTCAAACAGAAAAGGTTTGTCACGTTTTTAACTGTGGTTAATAATTTTATTGCGATTCAAACAGATCGATGCTTAGTGTGCCTAAAATTAATTTTGTATGAAAATGGTTTGTCTTTTGCTACCTTCATACTGTTTGTTTACATTAGCGACCAACTTTTATTTATAATAATAATTAAATAATTTATTATAATTATGTAACGTAATAATTATAATACGATATGAAAACTTATAAACGATTTCAAACTTATTTTAAACTAGCAAAGATTGGGTAGCATCTGAATTTTGATTGATCATTTGGTGGTAAAAGTGTAAGTAAACTGTAAATACTGTAAATGTAAAAGTAACTAAATCTCTTCTAAAGAAGCCATAATTTTCGTAATAATTATAATATAATAGATAAAAAGCAGAAGCTGATCTTTGCTGTGTGTTGTCCTTAATTATTTTGTTTTTTTATTTTCCTTTTATTTTATTTTGTAATGATGATTTTATTTATGGCTGAAGGTAGGTTAAATTGGGCCACTATTGGGTTGACCAGTTCATCAGTTACTGATCTGAATTTTATACCTTCAACATTCAACTCCAGTCTCTCTTTTAATTGGAATTAGTCCATCTATTCTAAAACCTAAATTTAATCTGTGGTTTTACTTTCTATAAGTAATTTAGGTCACAAACACAACTAATTGATTGAAATTATATATATATAAAACTGCCTGAAATTTATTAATAACACGTGAACGAAACATCTTCGAATTTTGTAAGAATGAAAGGTGAGTTATATTGAATGAGTCTAAATATAGATATTGTTCTATACATGTTACATCACAGTTACTTTGTATTTACATCTAAAAAAACAGTCGGAAATTAAATTGAAAAAGAAAAGACTTCTATGATATTCTGAAATAAGAATATCAAACATGAATTAAGTTTAAAAAATTTTTCAATTATTTGAAAAAAAAATTAACAGCTTTTATAAATTAAAGCAAACACTTCTAAGCATCTCAGAAGATGAAGATGACTAAAAAGAAAAAAGATGCAGAAAATATTTCAATGTAGAATGTGGTTTTGTTAGTAAATGAAGAAACACTATAGTAGAATTATTTTTATAGTATATCATTGTTTATAATAACAGTTGACCATTGATATGAAATGCTATATATAAATATTTATTTTTTAACTGCAGGAAGGTCTCATTGACTAAATGTATTTTAACATACAAGTTTAATTTTTCATATTTTACAGTTAATTAAATCATTTTTTAAAGGGCTGAATTTTTAAATATTAAAAATCTTAAAAATTTTAAACAAATTTATTGCCAATAAAATCATATGGCTATGCTTTATTGTACAGTTCGTTTTTAAGGTTAAATCATTCAAACTTGTTTTTAATTATGGCATGTTTTTGGTTTATTATTGACGTTTATATTTTATTTGTTTTTTTTTGAGAAATTCTATCTGCAAAATAGTTGAATAATTAATTTATTTATTTATACAATGCCATATACAAAATGACAGATAACAAAACAATTTGCAATTCAATGCATAAATATTTGTTTCTAAAACTTTTTAAATTTTAAAAATAAATGGCAATTGTAATATTTCAGCAATCCAAGAGATTCATTTGATATTTGATAATTCTGTATACATTCATTGTTACCATTTAATATATTTGTTGTTGTTGGTTGTATATTTGTTTAGGGTTTACTATGAGACCTAAGTTAATTTTTCATATTTTAATTTTTTTCTTCACGTGTCAATGGCAGTGGAATTATAGTCTTGAAAAATGATCCTTTGAATATTTTAAATTAGATTTTATCTCAATATTTGTTTTTCACAGAACTCAGCTTTAACGTGAAGATGGATAGTGATCAATTTGAATGTATTAGTTCATCGGTCCAATTTGTTCTTTTCATTTTGTTATTATTAATCTTTGTTTATTATTTTCAGATAGATTTAAAGAAAGTTAATATAGAGGCTTTCAAACCATGGATTAATGAAAAAATTGTTGAATATTCAGGAACAGAAGATGATGTGCTCGTTGAGTTTGTTTGCACTCAGCTCGAGGTTTTGGCCATTCTATTACCTATATATATATATATATATTGCATTTTTTTCATGTTGTTCACATCTTAATATGTGAAACAACCAATTTTTATTCTCAGATGTTACATATAGTTTTTGAAATTTAACTGTTTTTATTTTTATCAATTTATTAAATTTGTATTTTTAGATGTTATGTATTGTTTTTGAGATTTTATTAATTTTCAATCAGTCACCTGATCAGAAGCAGATGCAGATTAATATGGGTGGTTTCCTGAGCACTCGAAATGCTCGCATGTTCACTGAAGATCTGTGGAGCGAGCTGCAAATGGCTGTCCTCTCTGACAATGGAATGTCACCTGCAGTTCTTAATCTGAATCGAGAGTTGGACAGGAAGGTCAATAGCAAAGTTTCATTCTTTAATTTCGTTTGACAGACCTGTTTATAAAATATCAAAATTAGAAATCCCAAAGTGCATTATGTACAGTTTTTTATATAAAAATATTTTATGAAAGTTATTTTATGAGAGTCTTTGAAATGGAAAGCAATATCAAGATAATAGATGCCTTATTAAATGTCTTTGTAACTTTGAATGTTTATGTGTATGTTTGAATGTTTCCTTTTTAAGCTAGTATTATTAAAAGGTATATGGGTTATTGTTATTAATATTTTCGTTATTTTCAAAGTTGAATTTATACAACATATTTTTCTTTTTCGAAAATTTAACCACTTATTGTTTTCTACTATTACAAATTTTTTAAATCATATATGAAAACTGCTTTTTTCACTAAAAATTATCACTTTTCAGAACATTGAAATGAAAAAGTACTGTACTATATTTTTATTAACATATGCTTTTCGTTTGCTTAAGATGCCATGGATCTTTTTAATATTCACCAAAGATTTTGAAAATAAAAATTTAATCTGTTTTTTTTAAATGCTCCCCTATTTAACAACATTCAGAAACAAATGTTAGAATTTGCAAAGAAAGCTGAAAGAGAACATAATCCTAAATATGTTCGATTAAAGTGAGCTATAAATTTATTTTTCTAATAATTTTATATTTTTTATTCATTTATTTGACAAATTAATTTAAAGGCAACCGGTTGTGACTGCAGTCTCAGGTTCTACAAACACCAACACATACACAGATAGCAAAAGGTATCCATATAAATACATAGTGCCTACCCCCGCAATGAAACACAATGTATCAGCAACTGATGGAACAACAACGGAGTTTGGGAGAAATATTTTCAATAAGTCGCCATCAATATCTTCATCATCGTCGTCATCCTATTGGAGATCCAGACGTGCCCGATCTATTTATTTTTCGTCGTCATCGTCATCATCGTTCGCGTCATCGTTTTCATCATTATCATCATCAGTGTCTAGATCACCAAGCATTCACAGATCGAGGTTGATGTTTGTTTATTTAATATTCTTAATAATCATGTTTCAATAAATTTACTTTTTCTAATTATATTCTTCACTTTTTCAGATCATCAAGAGTGAAAAGAAAAAGGAGATGTAGAAGTTCAAGTAGGAAACATAAAAGTCCTCGAAAGCACAAGAGAAGATATCGAGATAAAGATATTACTTCAAAGAAAACTGAATCAAACTTGAATAAGCATCTTAAAAATTCTGCCGAATCAATCTGTGATCACCAGAAAAATTCAATGCATCCCACTCACCATCAAATTGCATCCGACACTCATCATATTACTGCATCACATTTAATGCCATCATCACATATCTGCGTGCCTCCTACTTTAGATCATTCCAATCTTCACTTTGAAAATTCTTCTAAAGCTTGCAGTCATTCCACACGTGCAAGTTGTTTTCAATCTGGCCACATTGATCACAATATGAAAGATCAGAAAGATCTCAAAGTTAAGCATAAAAAATCTAAATATTCAAACGTTGGGGCTGATATTGTGAAGAATCATGTCAAGAAGCATAAAAAATCAAAACACTCACACCGAAGTTATAAAGTGAAAGATGATAATGACCTTAAAAAGGTGTTGAATTTTTCTATTCTATTACATCTTATTTATGAGGTCTAGAATCTTTTTTTAGGTTTTATTCCCTGTAGTTTCAAAGCGTTTCTGTTGACTGCTGACATGCGGATTGTATAATTTCCCACATCCAAATGATAAGCACGTCCAACTAGTTGCAATAATTATATATACACTACTCTGATTTGGGATTCTTTTATTTGAATTATTTTTTCCTCTGATTATTTTTTGTGTCATTCTCAGGTAGCAGACAAGCTGAAGAAGTATGATGAAAAACGAAAAAATAAAATCCCTATTGATTGAACTGTATGAGTTTGCTAACTTTTTTAACTTATTTTGTTTTGTTTGGTCATGATAATTTATATGTAATTAAATGAAAATTGTCCTAAAATTTGACTTTAAATGAAAATTTAAAGGAAAGTTTTTATGCATTTGCAGTGTTTGACCTTTGTTTTTACCATACCTAAATCTTAATATTAATCATATAATTCTAAAAACTCCTATAACAGTTTTGTAACAAAAGAAACCTTGGAATAATTTGCGAGGTTATTGAGCGAATGAGCGAAAAAATCTAAATGTGAGTTAGACGCCCAAAGTATAGCACTAGTGTTACATTTTGCTTGTGCCCACACGGTTCTGACTCCTGGACAATTTCTAAAGAAATAGAAAAAAGGATTAATGCTGCTGTTTTTTGAGAAGAAAGTTAAAAATTAGTTGAACTTCTTATACCTCGAATGAGGATGTATTAAAACAGTCCGGTTATGAAAAGAGAAAATTACTACAAATAATCTGACGGGGCAGTTAAAGTTTTTCGGTCACATCATGCGGAAGGAAGAAATGGAAACTCTTACAACCACTTGAAAGATAACTGGGAGAAGAGATCGCGGTCAACAACGAATAACATTCGTGAAGTCCTTGTGTCACTTGTTGAACGTTACCACATTTCAACTCTTGCAAAATGTAATAGATCTGGTTTTGTGGAGGTCTATAGTCGTCAATGTCCAGAAAGGATAAGGCACGAGAAAGAAAGAAGAAGACGCCCAAAAAACGGTTTGCAAGCGATTTTCAATAGTGTTGTATTTAAAAATAGTGTTATCCTGCTGTATTCCCACTATGAGCTTTATTAAAATTAGCGGCATTGACGTCACACGAGCATCATATTTCATAAGAGCAAAATCCTTTTTCAAATCTGTTTTCAAAATTCATTGAGGAGCGCTGTTGAACATCGCGGAAATAGCGCTTTATAAGCTAATTGATTGATTGATTGATTGATTGAATATTGATTGTGGACGATTAAGTATGTTTAATTGTGAAGTAATCTAGCTCAAGATGATTCAATAGAAAAAAAATGTCAATGATTCTAGATGTAGTCATGTAGAAGCATATATAAGACAATCAAATCATGTTGAGGTTAAGGTGTTCTAAATATATAATAGAATCAAACCAACGCTGTTCTTATTAAATTTGTCCAGAAAAACTGAGCATCTCTATTATTAATGACTTTACTTTTAAAAAAATGTCGCTTGTTTTTTTTCAGTTCGCGGACTTAAAAAAGCAGATAAACTGGTTAGACAGGATGATCTGTGATGGTTCGATTAACTGAATGCTGTTTTACTTATAATTTTTACATTTTTAATATAAGAAACAAACTTTTTAACTTCAAGGTCTGAGCTTTTTTGATCTTACTGAACTACCATACAAGTACACACCTAAAAAACGAAAATATCTAAAGTAAAAACAGGAAGACTAAATCGTAAATCCTGAAAAAATTTAAATTATTCATCAGCAGAAAAAGAAATTGAATTGAACTAAAAATTAAATAATCTAATACTAATTCATTACTAAATAAATTTAAAGTAAAACTGAACTGAACATCTTAATTTTTAATTGAATATTAAATTAATATTAAAAATATTTTGACTTGGACTGCTGAACTTCAGTTGGAGATTTTTATTTAATATTTAATTTTAATTTGGTCTATAAATTAATTAAAAATAATATTTTTGACTGAACTAAAAAAAATAAAATGGCAGAAGAAGCTAGCCAGAAATCTATGCTGTATTTTTTGGAGGTTTTGATGAATTCAAACAAACCAATAACGCTGACTCAATTAGCTGGCCATTTTGGTAGGAGATCTTTTTCTAATGAAATGAGAATTGCAGCTGGTGGAAATGAGCTGGGATTAAGAAATTTGTTATCTAGATACCCCTCAATTTTTTCAATATGTGGAAATTTAGTTTCCTTGACTGATTCAAAATGTTTTGAAAACCAGGAGTCATTATCAAGAGATAGCTCTGATTCGGATTTAACTGGTAGCAAAAATTCTACTTTTATTCCCAATGTATCAGCTGAGATGGAAGCAGTCAGATTTTTTCAAGACAAGTTTGTTAAGAGAAGCTCTCGAGAAATGGCAATTAAAAGTTTAGCTGGTCATTTATCCCAAGCATCTTTGCCTATAAGAAAAATTGTGGGGCCACAATTACAGTTTAGATCCTGGTTGTTGAGACATCCCCATATATTTGAGGTTGATGGTGATAATGTTAAACTTCAAGATGATGTTGCAGCTCTTATATTAGATGTTGATTTGGCAGAAAATGAAATTCTTTGTTGCCCGAATAAATCAAATAATATATCTGGCTCATCAAAAAGTAAATCAGAAATTATGGCTATAGTGTTTTTAGGGGATCTGATTAAACAACACCCAAATTTAAGAGTTACTGAAATAGAAGAACATATAGGCCTTGCACCAACTTCAATACAAGTTTACATTAATTCACAGAATATTACAAATTTTGTTGAAGAAAATTCTACTTTCTTCAGCATAGTAGATGGCGTTTTGAAAGAAGTTAAATCTCCTAGTGCAAATCTTGTCAGGTTCAATGATTTGGAAAAAGTTGATATTACTGAAGAAGAATGTCTTGCTGGAGCCATCATAGGCAAGGGCAGAATATACCACATAGCCAAGCTCTGGGGAATTATTGATTTGGGACAACACGATCACGTTTTTTTTGATAGATCTATTTTACCAAAGGCAACACTTGATATGAAAAAAGAGTTCAAGGTGGGACAGATTCTTTGTTTTAAAGCCCTCCCTGCTCCAAAAACAAGTCGTGCAAAATGGAAGGCAATGACAGTGTGGAGACCATCTGTGGTGAATGTTTTAGATGATGGTGTCATAGATGAACAGAATGGTCTTGATGATTCTACCTCGAAAGTTGAAGAAGAAATCTATAGATTGGTGTTGGCTGATCATCAAATGGTTGATGATGTTTTGTCTTCGGATGATGAAAATTTGTGGATCGGTAGTAACAGTGGTAGCAACAGCAGCAGTATAAATAACATTAATAATTATTACAAAACTGATAAAGATATTGTATTGAAAATGAACTCCAATAACATTGCTCGTTTCATAGATGATAAAAGTTGCTCAAATGGACACAAAAATCTGAATGGCAACAAAGTTGATATTGCAGAAGAGAGAGTGAAATTTCACGTCCCTTCCAACTCATCATCTTCATCATCACTGCACAAATTAAATAACAATCAAACTAGCAACAACAATAGCAACAACAACAAAGTAACTGACTTGGTTAGAAAAAATCCTTGTAAGACTACATGTAAGTTTGTGAATGCTGCTTGTCAAACAGAATCAACAGGCGAAATCATTGCAACTCAGTTATATACTGCTTGAATAATATATATACTACCGTTCATTTTAATTTTCAATGCTAAAGTTGAATCATGTATAATTAAACGTTTCAAATGATACTAATGATGATATATACACTTCAATGGTGAACATAACATACCTTTTGATGATCATGTTATAATTTGTTCTTGTTAATGAACTGAATAATGTTTACTTATTTTTTTTATCAAAGTACTTTTTTTGTTGGTTTGTTAGTCTCATTTTATTGTTAGTCAAATGTGTTTTTAAATTAATTTTTTTTGGTTTTTACATTCTATGTTACTGATTTGTTAAAAATGCTTATTACATGATTTAAAAGTTTTAATAGATAGCAGTTTCAATAGATAGCATCACCACTTTTTAACGTATACACCCGTAACTGTTATATATAAAATTTTTTTACACGTTGTATTGTGTACAGAGGAAAAATTTTATGTTTCTTTACCTATTTTTTCTGTCAAGCTAGCATCTTTTGCCAGTTTTTTCTTTACCAACAATTGATGAAGTTGCTTACAGGCAAACTTTTATAAAAACTTCTCATAAGATATTCTCAGTCTCACAAATTTTATGTAATAAAATACTTTTTGTGATATTCAATCCAAAAAAATTTTCATTTGAAAAAATTATTTTTTAATTTAATGTATAAAATCACTCAATTTGACTGATTTTAACATACTTGAGTTTCAAATATCTGATTCAAATTAAATTACATTAAAATTTTGTTGGTTGGAAAGTTAAATGCACCATGTTTTTGAGCAGTTGTTTATTCGTAGTTGTGATTTGAAATGGATTAGAATAAATTGCATTGTCACAATTTAATACTGATTTCAACTGTTGAAACCGCTCTCAGAGTATTTATGTACTTTATCTTCTTTTCACCAACTGAACGGTTAGATAGGCTTGTGATGAGAATTTTCTAAATTACCAGTAAATGTATAATTGCCTATAATTTTGTAACTAATAATTATTTATACTAATGTTGCTATCAGTGATTGTCTTGTCAGCTGCTTCCATTTAAATGTTAAATGAAAGTAACCACTTATGATAAATTATGAATTTATTACGAATCCCCGTGATCTCTATGTTGGGTTGTACACCTAATAAATTCAACGTGAAAATTTTAAACAGTAATTTTTGTCATCTTGCACTATTATATTCTAACAACACCTACTGTTCCATTTATGTTAAACTTCTTAATAGTATCTATCAACTAATGTTCACTTGTAAATATCCTGGCCTAAATTTTAAATGCATTTTTTAAATACTGCACTTAGATATGCTACTGAATGTTTATTGTAAAGTGTATAAAATATTTTTATTTTTGCCGATCTATGATATTGTAAAGACAAACTTGCGTTTTTTTTATAGTAAATTGAAGTATAAAAAATTAGTTGATTTCATTAAAGTTTTTTTCTAAATTATTTTAATTTTTTAAAACTGTTTTCTATAAATTCATTTTGCGATTCTTTCTTTGGTGTCTAGTTTTTTTAATGGTTATGTAGAATTTTATTTTACAGGACCCGTGCAGTGCGCTTTGTTTCATTTCATGCAAAAATCATTCTTTCATATCATAAGCTCACCATTCATTAACGTTCGCTATCAGTTACTACATTCTTTCGTTTTAATGCCGTTTCAAAGAACAAAACGTTGCATGAAATACTAACGATAATATGGTTTGTACATTTTTTGTTCGTCTCTTTTGCTTATGTGTTAACTTTAATAGAAAAAAAAAACTAAAATGAAGTTGTTATGATATTTATTTATTGATTTATATATTACTTTAATGATATAAACGAGTTAGCGTATAACTATTGACAAGAATAAACGATGAGATATTAACAAGTTAGCGTCCACATTCAAGTACAGCAGCAATTATTAGTTTTTGTTCATCTGTAGTGTTTACAATTGGTATAATTATTCTACCAAAGTATTTGTACAATTAACTGTTTCTTAGAGAATAGTACGGTGAGGATTAGAGCATGTAAATTATGCGTATATATTTACATGAAGTGATGATATAACGCAAGCGGCGTGTGTTTATTCGAGTCATTGAAAATATTCACAAGTAAATTTTCCTCATACACGACCAGGATTAGAAAAAATTTATACAGAATTTAATATCAAATTCAAAAGCTGCTTCAAATTGGTTGCGTTTGCACGTTATAAAATGTGAGTGCATTTTGTAGACACGTTTTGCTTGTTTTTTTTTGTATCCGTTATAAACATTTTTAACATTTAGAAAATAGTGAGACATCGAAGATAGATTTGCATCTTTTGTATATACGACTTCATTTCATTAGGTACCTAAAATCAATTGGTTATGTATTATTTCAATTTATAGTTGTCACATTTAACATCAACATTCTGAAAGTTTAGATGTCGAGCATAATAATTATAATGTTGGATGAATTTGAATAATTTCTTCCAAACATAAATAAACATTTCAATAAATATTTTAATAAATATGCCTACTTGGATGCCCAGTCCATCCTGTAGTTCGATAACATTGTTTGTTTCTGTTGTGATGGCCGCCGGTTTATCGTATTTTGCGGCTTAGGTTTCCAGTCGGTATAGTCTGATTCTGTATCGTTCAAAGTTTTAAGATTTGATGTAACCCGTCGGTTAATTTTTAACCGTATAAAGAAAAGTTTATCTTATTCTTAGTTTATTTTCGCAAAATCTTTCTGACGAAAATAACTCGTCTGTTTCTTTCTCTCCAATTCCCAGTTACTTCATTTCATACTGATACATGCAACATGTGTACCCCACATCTAGTTACGTTACTGTATCAAAACGTCAGCTTTTCCAACTAAGATCTTTCTTGAGTTATCGTCAACTTCCTATTTTCAGTAAACTACGCACAAACCCACTGCCATCTTTTTGCTAATGTTTTTATTCACTTATTTAGGATCTAAAGTTTCGGAATGAGGCTCGAAGTAAAAGCAGTGAATGACAGCAATCAGATCTATTGACACCTTAAAGTTATCTATCTACGTCGTAACTAATACAGGAGTATTATGTTATCTGACTTTCACTCGCAGAAATTATTATGCTGCGTGTGTGTGAAACACAAAGCAAATAGCATTCCATAAATACGAGCGATATTTATTAAACATGAAAAGTTTAAACGAAAAAATAAGAATTAGGAGATCACTTGATGTTCTGTTGCTGAATGAATGTTTGCTCGTCAACGATGTTACATTATCTCCTGGGTGTGTGTAAATAGTGGCAAGAAGTGTTATGCACATACAAGTGCGCGTATGTACGTAACAGTTATGGAAAAGGTAAGGAATTAAAATACAAACCATTTAGCTTAATATTTTTATTGTTGTTTATTGGTTTAATCCAAGGCGGGTCATTTTCTTTTTTCCCACTTTGTATGTTATTCTTATTTCCTGATTTAAAAAATTATGATTTATATTCTTCGGGAACTAGTAATTTAAAGACGAATATGAATCGACATGATTTTACAAGTTAGATTAAAACAATAGAAAAAAACATTTAAGTTTCGTATTGATTCCACTATAAAAGTGTTAAAATAAAATAAAATCATTCCAAAATGTGTAATGAAAGAGAGTATAAATCTCATTCAAAAAACTGATGAATATTCCTATTCAGTTTCACTTTAGAAGTTTACTTGCTTCAGGATGAAAGGTAATAAACTATGCAAAACATCTGTTTGCTATGTCAAGTATTTGTTATTTGAAATTTAACGAAGCAGCATTGAAAAGAACCAACCGGAAACGTATCTTGATTTGTTAAGGTAGAGCTGTTTGGCAGAAGACAAACCCGCCCTTCCAGTATTTATTCTGCAACATAAAATTTCAAATAAAAAATTACAAGCATATTTAATGCAGACATAAAGAGAAGTGCAAAACACTAAATAATGAGGATGAATTACATATTTATAAATACCTATCAATGATAGGCTTGTTTGAAGGTAGAATTTGAGGGAAGATGGTCATCTTTTTCGCCATTGGACTCCTGGTTCAATATTTATTTTTATTTAGTAATAATATAGTTCCGCTATAGTAATTAACCACATTCTTAAATATTATAAAGAAATATTATTTAAAAACCCTGTATATAATGGATTCCAACCAAACTGTGGGAATAATCTCGAAGTAAAAAAAAAACTAGATATAAGAAGCAAAATAAAAAGAAACAATGAGATACCAGTTGAATCCTTCGTCTTGAACATTTGGGTGTGAACTCTTTTTCGCATTCATTGATTCCACAGGATTGTAATTGCAATTGTTGAAATATCTTTTCAATTTCAAAATAGAAATTTAATTATGAGCTAAGAACTTAATATAATTCAATTAGCCTCAAAATAATTTCTCACTTTGAGAAATCTTCTTCATCACCATATTGATCTGCATTAGAGTACCTATCATTCATTTTCACATTATGATCGAACTTCTTTGGTTGTTGCAGCAGCTGCTGTTGTTCTCCTTCGTAGTAGCCACCAATTGGAACTTAATTGTTGTTACAATGTTTCTTTATTTAATATTTTTTTAAAATATAAATCAACAGCTCAAAACGTTTAAAAATGTTTAGCTAATGTTCAAAAACATCACAGAGGATGGCGTTGACATTAAACGTCTTTATATTTAAGATGCTCTTCATAACGGCGTACACATTTTGCATGCAAAAAATAGCTGACAGATTTTCATTACATGGAAAAATTTGGTGAAATCACCAGCTGGATAAGAAGCAAAATGTAAGATGAACGATCCTCAGTTTTGTTTTATTGCTTTTAATAGTTTTTTCGCAACTATAGATGAAAAAAAATAAGTCAGAAAACAATGAATCAGAAAAAATTGATTGATCCAGTTACAATTATTCAAAAGAACATTTTTAGAGGAAAGATTGTTACTAAGCCGTTTCGCTTGGAATTGGTTGAGAGTTTTTTTTAAAATCAATTTAACAAAACTGTCAGTGTTGTTTAAATAATTCAGTCAACTGCAGCAGTTTATCAAAATTAATTATTCCGATGCCATGTCACGTTCTCAGACAGGCTGAAAAATATATTTTTCAATATTTCAAAACAAATTTTAATGTACAATTAAACAGAAAACTAATAACCAATCATATCCTTGAATCCCATAAGTTTGGACTGGTCTTTACTGAACTTGAAATTGTTATCAAATGCGACTCTACTTTTGAGTCGAGGATCATTTGCATAGGTGGATGGTTGTCGATTAACAAGCTTCATGTTCATCTGATTAGAATCAAAATAGCCAGATTGCTTCTTAACTAGAAAGGCGTTCTGCTGGGATGGGATGGCGTGCATTCCATTGTACGGAAATATGTCTTTCTTAAAACTCTTTTCACCTTTCTTCAGATCATTACTTTTCATACTTTTAAAGTTGTGTTTACTGCCTGTGCTATTTTGTTGATCGAACATCGTATTGTCGTCTTGAAATGAATAATCTGCCATTTTATCTTGCTGAGGTAAATATAATTGCTGTGGTAGCTGCTGTTGCTGCTGCTGTTGTGGTGGTTGTGGTTGCTGCGGTTGTTGTTGTTGTGGCGGTGGTGGTGGTGGTAGCTGATGATAAAGATATTGAGGCTGCGGTTCTTGCATTGGGTAGTACAAATGTTGCTGCTGTTGATCAGGTGCTGCATTCTTAGCTAACGTGTCGCCCCAGTCATCAAATGAATCATAGAACTGACTCTTTTCTTTCGTGAATGGAACCTATTGAACATTTGAAAAACAATCAAGCAATTAAATTGAAATACTTCTGTTCATAAAGCAAGTGAAAATAATTCCTCAAAGCGAATGAACAGTATTAAAATTTATCGAAGACATTTAACATGGGGTATGCATTTATCTCTACTAGAACTTCCTAAATTATTTATTTTAATTAATGAATTATAATGATAACAAATAGTTAAACAACTAAACAGTATTGTTCTTGCTTGACCAGTTGAACTCCACCTGGTTGGAGTGTGCGTGTTGAGGTTGGAGAGCGGGCAATGCAGGAGGTGCGGTGTTGGGCTGCACGTGTGTTTGACCTCCAAAGTTCTGTCCAACTCTGAAGAAACTGTGCTGTAAGGCCTGGATAGTAACGTTAGGAAAGCTAAGCATGAAACAATTTATTCCTGTTCTTCTATATTTGATTTTATTTATTTACTTTTATTTAGGTAATCTTGCAACACGTAATAATTTTGCAAATTTAAATAATACGAAAGAAAATAAGTAAAAAGAAAGAATAAAATAAAAAGTCTTCCAACACAATTCATATTTCTAACGGCCTGAGCAGAAGGTCTTTTTTGTGGATCCCAGAGAAGCAGCTGGTTCATGAGGTTCAATCCGTCGAGAGTTGCATTCTGCACCACCTGGTCGAGGGGGGTTGGAATGACTTGAGGCCATCTGAAATTCATGCTGGCAGCTAATTTGTGCCCATCAGGCCAATCGTTCTGAAATTTCATCAAAAGGCGTTACTTGTCTTTAGATTAATTTTGATATTTTCGTGTCTTTCATAAATAAACCAATGCAAAGGAAATAACTGACAAAATTTTAAATAATTTTATTTCCTTCATTTTATTTACAAAAAACTTAGATTCGGCCTAATCGAACGTTCTAAATACATTAAAAAGATTTCAGTCGACATTTTCCATCACCTAGCATTTATTTAGACTGTACCTTTTGTCATTTTGCAAATCGTCATCTAATTTTCAATCATTGAACTAAATTAAACTGAGAATGAATAAAAACAATGAAGCCACCTTGGAAGGAGCACCTAGTATTGAACAAATTTTGAAAAGTTCATCAATTTCACTGCTGCCAGGGAAGAGAGGCCTCAACGTGTACAACTCTGCAACAATGCAACCAAGAGCCCACAGATCAATTGGAGAGTTGTAATTCAACGATCTCAGCAGAACTTCAGGTGCCCGATACCTGCCAATTCATCAAACTCATCAAATTTCAGAAAGATCTCATTCAACAATACTTGCCAGCATTGAAGAGATAACAAATATATAATGGACAAACCATCTGGTTGACACGTAATCGGTGTAAGGAGGTCGTGACCTCGTTTCTCTGGCCAATCCAAAATCAGCAATTTTGACACATTCGGGACCGTTGCACAGAAGGTTTTCTGGCTTCATGTCTCTGTGAAAATAACCTATGAAAACAAAAATTCATATTTTTAATAAAAATGACAATAACAATTTTTTAATAACAAAAAGTTGAAAACAATCCTCAAAGAATAAAATTTATGTTAAATGTGCTGTGAACTATAATAAACACCCATACAAATCATGATGATTACAGATGGTAAAGCATAAGAACAAGATGCATCCAACCATGTTTATGCATGTATGCAAGTCCTTGCAGAATCTGGTACGTTATATTCCTCACCGTCGACTCAGGAAACAACTTATCTCTGAGGAACAAATTGGAAAGTTTGAAAAATATGTTAAAACTTTCCGTTAAGTTATAACATGCAGATAAAAATAAATGTGATTTAATGATGTAAAAATTAATTTCAAACATGAATAAGAAACCATAAAATAGAAAGGTCAGTTTTTGTTAGTGCATCAATTGCTTCTTTAAACAGAATTCAGCCTAAAGTTATTTTAAAATGCAAACCTATTTTTTGTTAACTGGTATAGATTCTCCTTCATGTATTCAAACACAAAGTACAGAACATCATTCTCCCTGATTAATTCCTTTAACTTCACGATGTTTGCATGATTCAACTTCTTCAAAGACTAAATGCAGAGAATAGGCATAATAAAAAATTAAAAAAAGGATGTAGCAATGTAGTATTAAAAAAAACGAACAAAAATGATAATTAAATAAAACATTATTATTAATAAGAAATAATTTAAAATAATAAATAATAATCATAATGGCATACTTGTAACTCTCTTAGCTTCAAGCATTCATCCCAGTTGTAAAATTTTTTTTTCATTCTAAAAATAAAAAATGAAAATTATCTATAAATCATTACATATCTATAAATCACCACATATCTATAAATCATTACAGATCAAAAAACTTCACATTTTATAATATTGTGACAATTTTGCTCGTGAATTATTATCAAATAAAATAGCAATAAATTAATGAGTATGCTAAACACACATGCATTATTTTGACATCATTTTTTAATTTTAAGCATGAACTTAAATAACTTCCATCCTGATCCAGTCCCTAACTCTAAAAAACCAACAGGACTTTTTAATTGATATCATCAATTAGACAAATATTTAAATGAAAGAACAAGTGAATTATAAAAGCTGTCTCAGATGCAAATATCTTAAAAAATAAAACTAAATGATTGTCAGATTTTTTTACGAAAAGTTTATATAAGAATAAACAATCAGACTGAAAATTTAAATTTTTAACCATGAAAAATATAATAAAAGAAGTTAACAAAAGTAAGATGACAGGCAAAAACAGATTTATTATTATAGCAGAAGAACAAAATTATGAAATCAAAATTAAATTTAAGACCAAAATAATTAATGATCATGTTGATATAATAGATAATTTAAAGAATAAATTCTTACAAAGCACTCAAAAAATCTTAAAATGAATTCAGATACTTTTATGTTTTCAAAAAAAGAAAATAAATGAAATACTTTTTTATAGCCACTTTTTCACCAGTTTTTTTACATGTAGCCAGCAGGACACTACCATATGTCCCATCACCAAGCTGTTTTGTTAGCTGATAATTTTCCATTTTTCTTACTAAAATATTTCAGTTAAAAAAAGATTGTTAGTAACAAAAAATATTAAAATATAACTTCTTATTCTATGATCATTCCTCAATTTTTAATAAAAAGTCACATTTCTTAATATCTCATTTCTATAAATAATTTATCTAGCTTCTATAGCAAATTTTCTTCACATGTATTTTTTGTATCTCTGATAATAAGATAAAATTATGATTTTAAAAAATTAATGTTCTGCTCATTACATTGATGAATTTAATGTTATGAATACATGCAAACACTTTGTTTAGAGTTTCTCACTAATATGTTTTCAATTTTAGTTTAATTTTTTGTGTCACAACAACAACTGCTAACTAAAGGAAAATGCACACACACACATATATACACAAACACACATTTTAGGCTAGTAAAGTATAAATAGTACTGCAGATCAGAAGTGTTTTACAAATAGTAATTGAATCAAATTTCTACTAAACTAAATCAATAATGAATAAATAAACATAGTTGCAAAAGAAATGGAACTCTACAGTTACCAGATCACCGCTTAACAACCTGGCCACAGTTAACAATTTCAATTCATGATGCCATTTATCAAAACGACAATGAAATTTGATATTTGTCAATAGTTAAAAATAGGTGAGTAAACAACCATCAATTTGAAAAATTTGTAATTATTATTTTAGTACAAAAATTTGAAAAAAAATTTGAAAAAAAATGTCAGGCAGACTCAGCAGAGCTACTTACTTTTTCTGTAGTTTTATTTAATAAAAATTATTTAGATTCAGTCAAACCACATAAACACAAACATATCATTCAAACTTCTGTATACAAATTATTAGATTAGTAATTAGTGCAGTTATTTTTAAACACTATTTCATTAATTTACCATGCTATTTTTTTATTATTTACGAATCCAAGACAACATGTAAACAATCATTTTCGTCAGTCTTTTATAAATTGTTTAGCGTCTAACTTTAACAAGTGCCAAACTGTCGATACTTTTAAAAGGCATTCTCATATTATACCTTATTCTAATACAATTATAACGCTTTATTTTAAAATCGCCGTTCTTTTTTGCTTTTGTTTATATTTAATCTCAAATCCTCACCGTCAGCATGTGATGTCTCAATCAGCACTTGATGCTATGCTACAAATCCGTCTAATAGAGGTCTCCTATCAATTCAGCACATTAATTTTTTTACCTTTTTTCAAATCCTCATCCATGGTTACGCCTCTGCCTTGTCAGCTTCCAACTCGTGCTTTGATATCCAAGTTTTGTGCCAATTCCTTAATTTCCATTTACAGTCAAACTGCTTTTGTGACGCTCTTACCTTCCAGAATCGCCCACAATTCCTCATGTCAGACCCAATAATAACATTTTTAAACCTAAGAAATAAATTTTCGCATCTTACATCAACATTCTTAATAATAGAATTTGCTGGATTGTACATCTGTCTTCTCTGAAACCTACTTGCTCTTTTCAAGAAGTGTTGTACTTTACTTTTTTCAAGTCGTTTCATGACCGTCAACAGTTCAACACGATCTTTAATTAGAGTTATTAATTGGTAAAAAATGCAATTTTTCAAGTCACTTTTTTTGGTATTTTAAGTCGTAAATATTTTTCGAAACAGTTTTCTGGTTTATCGTATTTTTCAATTATCGAAATTTTAATTCAGCAAATTACGTGATATTTAATTGTAACAAAATATTTATAACTCCTTAAACCAAGGTTCAACATGACAATAAGATAATTTAAAGAATACACCCAAAATATATTTTTATAAAATGTTTAATTAAACAGGTTTTGTAATTAACTTTCTCACGTAATTTATTCATACCCACGTATTATGAACAACATTTGTTAAATGAATATTCATTATATCATGAAAAATATCAGTCACCAAAAATAAACCTAAAAATACCAAAAATAAACAAACAAGACATCGAAAGAGCATGAACAAAAAAAGTTGAAAGTATTTGCAAGAGAAAGAAACATAAATTTTATGTTAACTATTTAATGTTGACATTTTTATGCAAAACATTAGGTCAGTATAATGGTAGATGAACCAATTATTGAAAAATATCTTGTATTAAAAACTGACTCGATCACAAACACATTTGATACAGTATAAGTATTTTTTAATACAATATAAATTGATCACTTTAATTTTATAACATGTTATATTCAAATTAATAACTGAACATAAAAAATCAATTAAAATTTAGAAATAAATTTTTTTTCACAAATCACCTATTTAATTTAGCATTTAGTCAAAACATAACTAGAAAGCGATAAAATGATCAAATTTAAAAGGCAAAATGATACTCTATAACGTGTTTGATGACTGTTTGGATAAAAGAAACTAATATAAACAAAACAAATAAAAAGAACCTTTAATGATGGAATGATGAGTAAACAAATAAAACACGTTCAAAATTTCAGAAAACATAACCGAATGTCATTCATAACTGACCATAACTTTTAAATTATTAAATCTTAACAATCTGATGGATTGAAAAATGTCAATTTATTTTGTGCTGTGCTGTTCGATGACAAACATTCTCAGAGATAAAAACAAAACGCCGGACGTCAACTAGCCAACAACAAATGAGAAAATAAATTTGAACAGACAAGTCGGAAACGCTAAATTGAAAGTGCACCAATTTATTGAGGATTAAATCATACAACGTTCATTTCAAACTCTTCATTACTAGCCATATTTTGATCACATTGTTACATTAACAGACAATAGATATTTCAACAGTTGCAGCATGCATAGCAGATTAACCATGAAAATTGCCAAACCAACTTATTACAAATTAAAATCATTTAAATACATAGTTCTGCCTCATTTCAAGGTCATATTGAGTTTAGGTAATGCTATGGTTGATTGGATGGGAAAACCATTTCAATATTATTTCAGAGGCACTAAAAGAAAAAAAATTTATAGGTAATGATGAATAATGAAAAAATATATCTTGGAAAGTGTGTCAACCATTTTTCAACTCATCGCAAGATTTTTATTACATCAATCCACAATAACTTATCGATTATCTCTTCAACCTGTAAAAATCAACTTATAAAAATTTGAAAATAAACACAACAAAAAATAAAATATATCTTATTTATATATTTTATAACCCGAAAGTGGAGTTGAAAGAATTTTGTTGTCGTAAAACCATCCAATAAACTTCTCACAATTTTATTCGCACATTTCACCATTCATCAAAAACGCATCGTTAGTAGCGTCCAAATATAGGAACAGGCAAGTGCACTCACATCTTTCATTGACACAAAATCGATCCTTACTTCAATACAGAATTTATTTTTTTCAAAAAACGCTAATGACAAATTATTTTATCTTTCGTCACAAAATAAATAAGGAATATATTCTGCTCTCTGTCTGCCGACTTTTTCTTATAAAATGCTAGAGAATAAACTAACCCAAAATAGATGCCAACAAACTCTTAATTTATTATGCACTAAACAGAAAGCTTTTATCAATAATACAAGTTTCACTTATTACAGAATCACCAAAGCCATAAATTTCATCCAATAAATAAATTTTGTAAGAGAAAACGAATAGAACGAATTACGAATCAACATTTATTAAATAACCTGGACAGATGAAAAGTACATTTAACGTTGCGCTGGCAAAACAAATATTAAAACAAACAGAGAACGGAGAATATTTTGTGTTGCCATATGTAAAAAGAAATAAATAATGGATCAATGAATATAATACATCGCCTCAACTATTATGTACATAAATTACACTGCTATCAACAACATTCCCGGCAGAAAAAAAATCAATAAAAGCAGCAGAATTACGACAACAGCCACCAATTATTTAAACAACTGACAACTAGTTGTACATAGACTGTAATACAAACTGAATGATAACTCCAGTTAAACATAATGTTTTGTTTGGTGTAAACAAAATTTGTTGATTTTTTTCGAAATTTTGAAACTGAATATTTAGGAACTGAGTTTAGAATCAGTTTACATCTGGAAAAATCAGATGTAAACTGTAAGATAACCTGTAGAAATATGAAACAAGCGTTTTTGCCCTGCTACAACTGTCATAGTTTTTAGTTTTGGGGAATAATAATAAATAGTATTACATAATTTAATAATTATTATTACAACAAAAATAATAGGATTATTAAAATCTAGCATCTGTCGTTTGCAAGCTTGAAGTACAAATATTTGAATTTGTTGATTGATAGCTATGCTGTATTTATCATTCAACAAAGTGTATAATATTTAATTAATTAATTAACTAGCTATCTAATTAATTAACTAAATAATTATCTTAACAACCGTAAAAATAAATAACGAACAAATAAATAAACGAGTGAACCAATGAATAAATGAAAAAATAATGTACAATAAAATGTGCATTGCAGTTGAAAATGTTAATTTCTCCTAAAAATTGTATCCTGGATACAGAATGTTTTGGTTTAGATTACACGTATGTACAGCAAGTAGTTCGTTATCTATAGCAAAGAGAGAATGAAATGAGAGCGAGATATAGAGGGATGGAGAGAGTGAGAGATAAAAAATATTATGTTATTATACTGACTGTCAGTACTTCATAACTCTAAAGTAACATTCAATAATCACAGGACGCACACTGAACTGCGAAAATTTTCGTGCTTTAATTTTATAATAAAATAAAATTGATGGCAATATTGCATAATTAGACAAAATTAACGAGTTATTAAATTACGTTGACCATTATCGTGCCACTAAGTGAAGAGAGAAGGACATGACATGAAACGAAGCCGAGATTGTGGTTGAATGATAATGACGATGCAACCAGTTCAGATCAGATCAAATCAGATAGATAAGGTAGATGACATTATGAAGGAAGGAAGGAAGAGCAAGGTGAGGCAGTGAATGTTCAAATAGAAAATCTGGCAGTGGATGGATGGATGGATGAATGGCTGGCTGGTAAATAGGTAGATGGGTGGATAAATGAATGAATGAATTGATGGTAGATGAATAAATGGAATAAATAAATAGATAGATGCATGAATGGATATATTGTAGATTGATACATAGACTGGTGAATGAATAGATGAATTGGCAAAAGTAGATGAGTGACTGACCAGATGGAAGCGCATTAAAGTCCAAAAAATTTGTGGAATCAAGCGCAGAAGGAAGCAAAAATTAGGTGAACTTAACAATTTTATTTATTATAATATGGAAAAAATAATTTATCGCAATTTACGTTCCAAAGAAAATCTGTTGAAAAAATAATTGAAAAATAATGATGATAGATAACAATAAATTTTCCTGGAAGAGAGCATGTGGGATTGCCCCGCCTCTACATGCATATTAATACCTCTAATAAATAATTTCAAAAAAGTTACAACACTCAACGGAACACAGGACAACAAACAATAACATTAAAAAACAAGAAACAACAATTAAAATTTGAAATTAAAGAATGAATGTATGAATGAATGAATGGATGATTGATTGATTGAGAGAAATGAACGAATGAGAGAATGAATGAATGAATGATGAATGAATGAATGAATGAATGAATGAATGAATGAATGAATGAATGAATGAATGAATGAATGAATGAATGAAGGAAGAGATGGACAGACAGAATGCATCAACTGTGAGTTACATTGGAGACTGGAGGAGCCACCAAGGGCGACTTATCTTTCTTTGACTGAATTTCACTGAATTTCTGCATCCAGACATTAGAATTTTTCAAAACCTGGTCTGTTTTATTCCTGCAAAAATTGATAAATATATTAAAAATATTCTTTTCAATAATTTAAAACAAGCAAGCGCATAAATTTAACGTTAGAGTGAACATTATATAGTATAGCAACCGACCAAACATTAGCATCAGGAGCGCCATAGTTAGGCGGAAATTCATCCGGATCGTATCCCAACTTTTCCAGCATAGGAGCCAGTTGACGAACGTTTCCCTTCAAGTTGTCAGGAAATGATGAAGCCCATTTCGTTAGTGCCTCCAGGTTAACCGGCTTGATGACTTGATCCGTCGAACGTTCAATCCTTTAATCAAAATTTTTGAAAACATTTAAACTTACCATACCATCGTTTGCAAAACGTGCAGTTAAAAGCACTTCAGTGGTTAATTAAGTGCTGCACATAAATATGCCTCAATGACTTTTTAAAACTCTAAATCAAATGCACTATTTATCTCCTTATCATTTGTAATACATTAAACCTGTCTTAAGTAGCTTAATTTATATTTTTATAAGCAAGCACACACGCACGCACACACACACGCACAATCTTCGTGTTAATAAAACTTTAAATGATGTTGCAAAGGCTAAGAAATGAGGCATGATTAAAAAAAGTGTTTTGAGGGCGCTTGAGATGTTATTTACTCTGCTTCTATCATCTGCATCCCACACCACTCAACAGAACAAATACATAATAAAAGTTTCTTAATGCATGAACCACGCAAACACAAAATGCAAAAATATAAAAATTTCATTTCAGTGCAATCGATGAACATGTGGGAGCACATTCTAGACGGTTAATCTAGTGAAAGAGTTTGAATTTATTTAAATGAACAATTTAACATTAATTTTCGATATATTTAAATAAACTGTGATAAACGTTTGCACGAACTATTAAGAATTGAAATTTTAACAAATAATCATAAAAAGAGGTCCCTGGCACATTTTAAAATGAAAATGTGAACGTAACATCAATTTCCGTTGGTTAGCGAAGCCAAATCAATTATTTCAAAGCCCAAACAAATTAACACTTTGCTGTTAACAGAATTAATTAAAATAAAATAAATTAAAATAACATTATAGATAGAAACACATTTGTTTACAGTTTAACTAATTATTATTCCAATGATTATATCTGCCTGCTCTTAATGAATTGCACAAAATAGTAACAACAAAATAATCACTACTACAAACAACCTTCAATTCAATGAGAAAGAGAGAGAGAGAGAGAGAGAGAGAGAGAGAGAGAGAGAAAGAGATTAACGTCATAGGTTACGTTGTTTTGCACATAGAATAAAAAACTAATAGATAAGAAGTTGTAACAAAACAATTTTCAAAGAATATCTGAAGAAAAAACATACCTATTATATCTGACTAAGCTACACTGCATACATTAGAAATCAATAATTCATTAGAACGATCGAACGTTATAACAAATTTACCTGGCAACTTACACTATCAGAATAGTAGATAGATGGCCACATGTTTTCATGATGCAACAAATTTATTTAACGTTACTGTAAATGCACCAAGAATGCTTAAAAACCAGATAGGATGAATTCTTTCTTAAAAAAGCATTCATCCTAAAATTTCAAATGAGCTCAAAACGAACAGTAAAATGATATTTCATGACATAATCTAACAAAAAAAAATATCTACATAGTTTATGGTTATCACAAACTGCCAATTTCAAGAAAAAAACCTACATTAAAAACCTACAAAAAAAACTGTTAAGAAATAAGATTTGAATTCCATTTTATTACACATCAAACATTTTAATTTTTTATTTAAGAATTGCAAGAACAGTGAAGGCAAACGAAGGAGCATGATCAGAAATAATATCTTTCAAATAAATATACAACATTCACTCGTTAGCACATTTAGTCAGACTTGGAGGAATAATTCAGATAAGAGAGAAGATAAAACTGTAGATAACAAAAAGATTTACTGGAACATTGTTTCTAATAAAATAAATAACAAAAACATTTATAAAACGCAAATGTAACAAACAACAAACAAACATGCCAACAACAAACAAACAAACAAACCAACCAACAAACAATGTTAATGCAACCACAGATGTTACGTACAGTTATAAACATAAACAGAAACTAATTATTTTTCTATTTTTATCTAATAATAATAATATCCTTTTATTTTCTAACTCCAAATAAATACCAAATATTAATAATGAAATAATTATAAAATCCTATTTATTATAATAATAACAAATAACAATATGAAGAACAAAATCCAAGAACACGAATTTGGGATATTTGAAATGATGGAGCGCAAATTCAACACTTAATAAACAAATCAATGGCATGATGTTCAGGATGGTTAATAATAACAATGTACAGACAGACCCACACTACATTAATAATATAAAGATATAGAGAGCACGTAATCAACCGGCAACATCTGTGTACCATACTACAACGAAATTACTATTCTTCCTTGTAAGTTCTTATCTTAAAAGTGAGCATAAAACTCGCGTATCTTGTTTAAAAGTTTAATGTTTAATTATAAAATTAGTATAAGTATAACTTTTGTTTATCTGGTTTGAAAGTTTAATGTATAATTATACAGCAATTAAAAATTTAAATTTTCAAGCTTATTTTTTTATTACTATTTGTAATTCAATGGAAAATTTCAATAGCAGGAAACTATTCAGACAGCCACTGCATTATTTTATGATGAATGTGCCAACCGAAATGCTAATTAAATGATGAATTGTATTTAGTTATTATTATTCAATCGATGTTTGTATAATAATAAACAAAAGAAAGGGGCGTAAAGGAAAACAATGCATCTAATTCACTCACTCACTCACTCACTCACTCACTCACTCACTCACTCAATTTAAATAGTTATTTAAATGTTTTAACAAACTCGACATTTTATTTTGATGCACTGGCAAGTTCAAATTCTGACTGATAACAAAAAAGAGCAAGATAGATATATAGAATGAACAAGAAACTAAGTCAATGCATCCAAAACAATCACACTGATTAAGAGGGTGAATACATAAACAAATGAATGAATGAATGAATTTTAAAAGAATGAACAACAGACTATCCAACATTTAAATCGATCTTCCAAAGGCTTAAAATTTTTTTGCGTGAATGGCAATGAATAGCCAGCGACATTTATTTCCATTACGTGTCAACAGAAGGACCCAACTAATTTGATGCCACTAGATAATTTGGTCTCCGAATAGCGTTTCACTTCCACGTACAAGCCAGTTAATATTTATTTTTGGAGTGTTTGGAAAAAAACATTGAAAAGCAATTTTTTCAATTTATTTCAATTAATTTTTTTATTCGGGCCAAATAAATTATTAAATTTCTCAAATTTTTCAATCTTTAAAACTGTCTGCTAATTCTATGATTTAAATAAAAGTTTTCCTCAACAAATCTGACCCTTTTCTCTGGAACTCTCCACCTCCTTTTCTGATATTCTCTGACTAATTCTCCATCACTTACAAAGTTCAGAGCGGATCTCAAGACCCATCTGTTTGCAAAATTCATCGAGGAGCAAAGTTGAACATTGCAAAAACAGTGCTTTATAATCAAATTAATTGATTGATTTATTGATTGATTTGGAATGCCAGTTATTTCCTGCTAACATTAATCGCAATGGGAGGAAGTTTCGTTGACTTGAAACAATATAGAAAACTCTTTTTCATTTACAAGTAGAACCATGCAATTTTAAGAACGCACTGCAAGACACACACATTCATATCGTGTTAAAGATGGCTGGCTCCTGAAAATGACAGCTCTGACTGGTGATGGTTGTGAGTTTTAATAATTTATACATTTAAACTTTAAATTTTAACAAACATTATATCACTTTAAAATTAAAAAACTTTATTGCTTGTAAAAAAAATGACGAACAATTTAGTCTAATAATTTGTTAGGCCCTTCTTTATGTTCAATTCAGCTTAAAACCTTAAAAGGTGACACAAACTAACTGGCCAAGTTGCACCACAAGATAACGTTCAGCCAACCAAATGAATCTCATAAACTGAAATTTCTGGAGAAGATTTTGCTTAAAACATAGATTTCCAAATAATAAATAAAAACAAAACCTAGATATAGGAGGTTATCAGATTCATGTTGTTTAAACAGACAATGCAACACATGAAACATACTCAACAACATACAATTCAACAGCATCCGTACTTGAACGAGCCAGCCAACAACAAATATGTAGCGTGAAATTATTCTGCTAAGAACAAATATTTTTCCATCATCATCTCCACTTTCCATGAAAACTGCAATCAGCATATTAAATATTCTATCAGTTTTAGATTTGAAAAGTCAGTTAAAATCTACTGGAAAAATTGTTGTCGACGGAAAGTAATACTTTTATTTTGATTAACTTCATGTTCAAACTATATGAACACTTTCATAAAAAAAAGTTATTTTTTTCATTAAATATTAAACACTATTTAGAAATAAAATGAAAGTTGAATGAGAAACACTTTTATTCTGACTGTCTTTTCTAGTCTTATCATCAATCTTTCCACTTCGAGCCATTTCATTAATCTATACATCATATTTCAACATATAAATATCCAAACATGTTTCCAGCTTGATACGTTGTACATCCATAAAACTCAACGTTGAATATAATCAATAAACCGCATAGTTTTTAAAGCAGACTCATCAGACGAATGAATAATTATCATTAAAGTCAATGAGCAATTAAAAAATGTTAACGAAATGAACAATTCCTGAAATAAGAACATTCATGCAAGAAATGACAGCTGAAAAAATAAAAACAAAAATAATAATTTCAGTGACTGGAGCATTTCATTGGAACAAAAAAAAAATGATAAAGCCAAGTTAACGACAAACACATGTTCTAATTACACACTCATCTCACTGTTTCAAAATTCGAGTAGTACCGTGTTTTCTATTTGCATAAACAAACACTTGCCATTTCAAATGTCAGCCTCCAAATATATGGCCAACAAGATAAAATAACATTACTTAAAATAAAATTGATACATTACATTAACAAAAATCACTCAAACCTGTTTGATTCTCTGGAACCAAATTTAAACCAAATTATTAAAAAATAATAAATAATAACACCATCACCACCATCATAAAAATAACAATGGAGTGATAAATAATTTTGACAGACGCACTTAATCAACCCTAGCATGCAGAATGAAGATTTGTGAGCTTGCTGCATCTCTTATTTATGTCAGTTCGCTGTAAGCCTTCCTTTACAGGTATGTATTGTGTAAAAATAAATTTCTATGCATTCCATGTATCAACATTAACACATATAAAT